TACTTAAAATACATTCCAACAAACACTTTTGTTTTCAGTAGGAGGGCTTTTCTTTGCCACCCGATCTACATTACATGGTACAGACTTTCTACTGGCCATCTGTTCATGACTCTTATTGAGAAGCCAAACTGTCTTGGAATTGGTGCATCCCTCTGGAAGAGGTTGGTGCCAGGTCTGAAAGTGGAGAATGCCATAACTCAAACTTTTTCCTAAAGTAAAACTAGAACCACTGGGTCGCTTTGCATTATACAATTCTTTCTCCAACATGCTAAAAGAGGTTATAAATTTTAAGGACAAATTGCTGGTAGGTAATAATTTGATTTCGCCTCTATTTCTTGATTTTTTTTTCCTTCCTTGTTAGTATTTTGAAGAAACTAAGTTTATGTAAGTCGTCTAATACAGGGCTTTCCAGTAAAATTTCATGCGATAATAGAAATGTTCTGTAATCTTCCCTGTTTATATGGGGTTATTGTAGCCACACTGGATACGTGTGACTACAGAACTAAATTTTTAATTTATTTCATTTTAATTAATTTAGGGGCACCTGGGTGGCTTAGTCGGCTAAGTGTCTGACTCTTGGTTTTGGCTCAGGTCATGACCTCAGGGTCGTGAGATCAACCTGTGTTGGGCTTCACACTCAGCACAGAGTCTGCTTGAGATTCTCTCGCCATTTCCTTCTGCCCCTCCCCTGCTCACACTCACACTCTCTCTCTCTAAAATAAATAAATAAAATCTTAATTTAAATAGCTGCACATGGCTAGTGCCTGCCATATTGGACAGTGTAGATTCTAAGACAAATTTCTTTATGATATTTCAAGATAAATATTGGTTATATGACGGGCTTCATAAAAACACTTTTGTGACCATGGTCCTCTCTCCAGAAGATATGTAGTTCATTAAATCAAAATAGCAGCAACTGCTATTTACATAAAACAAATAATACAACAAAATACTAATTAACTCCCAAAATATTTATTGAGCTTGTATTATGAAATAGGCACCACACTTGGCATTGAAAAGTGTGCCATATGCCTGATGACGCTTCTGCTTTCTATGTAGATGTCATTGATTGACAGATGACAGAGGATTTTATAAACAGCCTTCACTGTAAAATACAACTTCATTCCTTCAACTTTCCTTAAGTGTACTAGACCGAAATGTTTGACAATATGTAAACATAGTCAAATACTAGCCCTGTGAGATGCCCTGAAGGAGGGAAAGAATCACATGTTCCATCGGACAACCGTGTCCTGGCATGTTAAAGGATCTCCAAATTCCCATATTGAAAATGTGTTTCATTTTTTTCTAATCCAGTGCTTACCAAATACAAATGTAGAACCCCATCCCCCTCCCCTCACAAACTACCTGTTAATATTGATTCTATGGAATACACTTTGAGGATTGGAGATTTATGCTAAGGAATTTTACAAAGCATAAATAATCAAAAACACTGGATAATCTAGGATAGGTTTTTTGTTTTTTTGTTTTTCAAAGTGGCATTTGCAGATCTTTAGGGACCATGAATATATTCTTAGTATTCCATAATTCCTCTGAAGAATTTTGAAATGATGTGATTTTTACCTACATGATAAACTTCAAGTATTAATACAAGCCTGTTCTGGCTTATGTTGATGAACACATTCTAACAGAGTATTGTTACATGATTTCTCTTAAGATTGGCCTGTAATTGTTTTACACTGATTTGCAAAAAAAAAAAAAAAGAGAGAGAGAGAGAGAGATGGATTTAAATGACCATTTGCCTCAAATAAAGGCCCAGTAATGGTAGGGTTTACTGTAAAAATAAAGCTTTACTAAAGAGAAGTGGTGAGAGAACTGAGCCATCACATGACATACAGTATTAAAAGCATGTTTTATCTTAAAATAATCCATTCTGGAGCAATGATTTAAATATTTACTGAAATTCTTCAAGTTCAAGAAAACACCTTTCACATTACAATTTGAAGCTTACTTATTTTATGCTTTTGTTCCTATTTATTTTGTAAGTGTTCTGGTTTATAGAGGTATATGGGCTTAAGCTTAAAAATTTTTTGTCTAGATTTATGTCTAGAATACTCTAATTTTTGTAGGTTTAAGTAATATTAGGATAAAATAATTGAAGTCAAAACTAGGGGTGCATAAAAGTTATTTATGTGTGGAAACACTACTCTAGGATATTTCTATTACATTTCTGAATGCATCATATTGTGTTCTTAAATATTTAGCCAATATTTAAAATTGGTTTGCATTCCATGGCCATGCATCATCTGTTAAATTTGCTGTGAGGCTAGGGAAATTCTGGAAAGTATTAAAAACTCATCACAGATGATCATGAGTTGACTGTATTTAATATCACTGCAGATAAAAATAGATTTATTGAACTATTCAAATATGGCAATGTCAAATTTGGTGGGTTTTTTTCCTCCCTGATCTCTGTTGTCTTTTAAAAAAAATTCCATACATAGCATACACATCTTACAAAGCTTGGTTTCAGCTACCACTTATAAGTCAGTGACTCCAGATTTTTATTTCCAGACTATTTGTTCATTTGAATTCCAGATGCACACTTCCAGTGCTCTACTAGATATTTCCATCTGAATGTTCAACAAGTATTTCAAGCTCATTGAACCCCATTCTTGTGTTCTTGATCTGGGTGTTACTTCCACTCAAACTCAAAACTCTGAAGTCATCTTCTACTTCTTTCCTTCCTTCATCCTCTCATCAATGTTCAGCAAGTCCTGCCAATTCTCTTTGTACCGCTGTCATTGTCTTAGTTCAGCCTACAATTGCAATAGCCACCTACCTAGATTTCCTGCCACCAGTTATCTTCCATGCCATTCTAACTCAAAATTAGAAGGATATATCACAGAATTTTCAGCTGACTTGCTTCTACCTTGTGTGAGCTGGCCCAGTTTCATTTACTGAGACTTCTGCCTTACAAGGCTTGAATTTATTTAAGGCACAGGCTCTGTCTCATTCATCTTTGTGTTCCAGTGTTTAACAAAATTCCTAGCATGCAAGTGGTGTGTGCTACATGTTGTTGAATGTAGACGGTGCTAATGGGCAGCTAAGAGCACAGGTTTTGGAATCAGATAGGTCTAGATTAAATTTCTGCCTCCTCTGCCACTTACTTAGTTGCTAAGTCACCCTGGGCAAATTGACTCTAAGATAGTGATTCTCAGCTCTGGTTGCAGATTGGGATTACACAAGGAATTTATTAAAATGGTTCAGGTCCTCTTCTCAGCCCAATTAAGTCAGAATATATGGAGGATGAGGCTCAAACACAAGAAATTTCAATAGATACATAGGTGATCCTAATATGCAGCCAGGATTGGGTATCACAGCTCTTGGTCTTAATTCCTCATCTACTACATAATATCTATTTTAAAAGAGTTTTTGAGCAGGTCAAATGAAATTAAATTTAGCAGTGTCTGACACATAGATTGAGTATGTGCTCAATCATGATATTAATACACAACCTCAATTTGTAACCTCTTCCTTCTCAATTGCTACCCCCCAGCGATTCTACCTTCTTTTCAGTTCCTGGAATATACCAACATTTTCCAGCTTTAAATAAATATTTAAACTAAAATAAATGTCTCTGTAGGCTAAAATTTTCCATAAGGATTTTCTTGAAGGCAATTTCTAAGTGTTTGAAAAAGATGGTTTAGGGGAGACATGAGCTGGATGAATAGAACTCATACTGTTTTACAGAGAGTCTTAATGTCAGGACATTTTTGAGATTGTTGTCTCTTTAGTATGTACTCTTTCTTCTCTTTTTCTTTTAAAATTCCTCATCCATCCATATAATCTGCCCAAATCTTATTTTACTGGTAGTATAAAAAACCTATAGAAGAGAAATTTATGGCAAATTTTTGGCAAAATATCACCTGGGTGGCTCAGTTGGTTAAGCATCTGCCTTTGGCTCAGGTCATGATCCCAGGATCCTGGGACCCAGACCTGCATCTCCGGAGGGCTCCCTGCTCAGTGGGGAAACTGCTTCTCCCTCTCCCTCTGCCCCTTTCCCCTGCTTGTGCTCCCTCCCTCAAATAAATAAAATCTTTTAAAAAAGAAAGAAATTTATGAGCTACAGGAAACATTAGAGAAAACAAGAAAGATCATATAAATACTTGCCTAGATGCATTTTGTTGCAGATTTAATTTAGATTTTAATTTTGAGAAATGTGTACTTATATAAAGGTTAGAAACATAAAAATCCATCTTATTGTTAACCACTCAAAGGAAAGAAAAAAAAGAAGGTATTTCACTAACTGACACTTTTATGGAAAGCTCTTAAACAATTACGCGAGGCCCAAATTTCACCTAAAACTGTCCTCAAGACCACTGTAACCTGATCACATCCATATTACAGCACACCTCCTAACAAAGATAAGATTTTGTATTTTCTCTACTTTGCTATCGACCTCTAAAGCTCTTCCAAAGAGGTAGCTCAAAGTGTGCTACCTGGTCGAACTTGGGGAACGATTATCAATAAAAACCTTATGAAGTGCTGTGGGACGGAGATGAGAGAGATATCAATCATGCTTTTATGATTTAGCAGGGAAGGGGAAAAGGTAAAGAGTAAAGCCCGGCAAAAGCACAAGATACTGAGAGTCAGCGTCTCCGGTGGGAGATCCTGCGGCCTGCGCTCCAGAGCCCTCAGTTCCCCTTGGAGCAGAGGGACACGCTGAGGGTCACGCCTCCCAGAGAGTGTGCGTGTGTTAGTGCGCGATTCTCTTACACCGCCCACAGGGCCTGGATACTCATCACAACCCACAATTGCCTGGTCAGCAAACAACAGCTGATCTAGCCACCTCCCACCGTCTAAACAGTCCACGCCTACAAGCAGCGACCAATTTCAGGCAAGCCGGAAGCCCTTTTGCCCCGTCTCACCGGCCCAACAACAAGTTCGGGTACGAACCGGAAGTTCTTCTGCCCCGATCGTCGGAGCGCCTCCTCGTGGACTGCACAGGCGCAGTGGGGCTCCGGCGGAGTTGTGGGAGGGGAGGAGGAAGAGGCGGGGGGGGGGGGGCGGCAGCCGGTCCCAGAAGATGGCGGAGGCGGGGGTGAGTTGGGGTCCCCCTGCGAAGCTCGGGAGATGTGGTGCTGAGGGAAGCGGCCTGAGGAGGGGGATGGCCTTCGGGAAGAGGAACTGCTTGTGTTTCTGCAGGCTGGGAACCCTGCTGGCAGGTGCGGGTAGCCAGGACCCCAGATGGGGCCTGAAGGGCGAGGGGCCCCGCTTACCTAGTGAAGTGTCGGCGAGGTCCGGAAGGAGACAGCGGGGTCGGGCGGAGGTCATGGGAGAGGCCGAGGCTCCTCGGACAGTGCAAGAGTGTCCGAGCGGAAAGAAGACTGGAGGACGGCGGGAAGGGCGACCCTGGAGATTTGATGAAGCTGGAGGTCAGCGAGCTGTCAAGCATGGAGCTGTCAGGACTTGGGAGGCTGGTAGCCAGGGAGACTCAGGCTGGGGAGGATGATGGATCCAAAAAGGTAGCTTTTGTAGTAAGTTTAGAATCCTCAAGAAGGTATGTTGATACTGGTTTGAGGAGTGGGACTTTGGCATTTTGGATTGGAATTGGACACCTTTGGCGTAGGTGTGTGGGTCAATCCAAAGAGAACACTTGCCTGGACCTAGAAGTCAGTTGGTGATAAGTTACTGGGATTTTGGGGTTGCTCAGTGGGGCTTGACCATCTGGAAAAGGAAAGAGGTGTGGATGATAGGGGACGGGGGGTGGGGGTGGGAGGAAGTGTGCTAAAACAAGTGATCATGACCCATGCCCTGTTAATGTTGGAAAAAAGTTATAAAAGTATGGTGTTAGCTCGATAGTCTAGGAAAATATACCATGAAGGGCTTCCTGTTTTGTAGGATTGATGAGGAGATGGTTTAAGAAGGAATGGGTAGACTTGACTCCTGGGCCACGGGAACTGGCCCAGATCAGTATTGGCAATGGAGCTGAGGGTTGCAGGGGAAGGCACATTCCAGTGCTAGCTAGGTACAGGGAGAATGAAGGCAAACAGTGGCTAGATTGTGTTTTCCAGCTTTGGGGCTTGGCCCTGATTGCCACCACCGAGTGAAAATGAATGAAGGGATACCTGACTAATAGGCTCTCCAGGGAAAAAATATTAGCTGGGTACTGTTCCTGGTACTCTTCCTATTTTCCGCTTTCATTCTCTCTGGGCACATTATGTTGGCTAGTGTGATTTGTTGTAGTTGTCAGTGCATATCTGACACAAAGTGGAAGAGGTTGATTCTTTTTAAACTGACAACTGTTGTTTTTACTAATGGTCTGCTGTAAAGGAAAGGAGAGAATGCAATTCAGTAATTTGTTATCAGAAAATTATTCCCAAATGATAGAGTAACCTTTTTAGTGACTGAGACTTGACATTTAAAAGTAGTAATGGGATGTGAATGCTGCTTGTTTAATGGTTTCCGTGTTTGGGTCTTAACATACAAAAGAAAGATGAGTTGCATTGTCTTCAAGACAAAATGTTTGTCTTTCTAGAAGTTTTAGTGTGCGTAGCCTATGATTCACATTTGTGTGCTTTTATTTAAGGAGAGTTAAATTTTTTCATTGATGTAAGTGTATTTTTCCTGATGCTTATGCTTATTCTGTTTTGAGAATGCCATTATAATTAAGAGAGCATCTGGTGAAAGGTGTGAGGTAGTAATTTAGTTTTATTATTTAGTAGCTGATTCTGACCTAAACACCTGAAGAGATAGGGTGATATGAGGAAAGAAATATACTTCTGTGGCTGTTAGTCATTGGAAGATGAATGGTCTTGTTTGATTGAGAAGGTGTTGAAATTGATAAAATACAACCGTTTCTTAAGGTTACTAGAAAATTTTGTGTTTGTTTGTTTTCAAATGCCTATTGCCTGAAAGTTGTTTCAGTGGAAGACATAAACTTTGATTTTCATTCACAAATGAATTCATTCACAAAGTCCTGAATCATTTATCCCTTTTTTTTAAAGGAATAATATCACTCATTAACAGACGGCCATATAGCTGGACTAATGTTTTTCCAGTTTTGATGATTTGTTATTGATCTGTCTAAACTATTTGAACTATTTTTCTTCTTGTTCACTAATGTACTTTATAGAAATTGTAGGTCAGGGCTCAAGGAAGAATAAGAATTTCTTATATACTGTGGGAGATTTTTATTTGTCAATTTTTGGAAAAAAAAAAAACACCCACATGATTTTGGTGTTAACAGTAGTTGATCAGCATGACTTTAAAAGCTGCCACTTGTGTGGCGAGTGAATTATTTTTGTATGGTGCTTGTAGTTGGGGCAGTGTGGTGAAATGGGAAAGAACTCTAGAAGGAGCCACAGTGTTGGGGATGTAGGGGAGGATGCCAGTCTTGGTGCCACCTGGTAACAGTGTTATCATCTCAGGAAGTTACTTAACTTACTTTGTTCTGTAAAATGGGGATTAAAAACACTTGCCTCTGTACCAGGATTATCATTGAGATCTATTGAGGTATTGTTCTCTCTAAATAATATCTTTATACCAAAGACTTCTTCCCTAATCAGCAAATTATTTCTTGAGTAATCTAAATTTTTCAAATATAGATTTTTTTTAAATTTTGGAGAAGAATCAAATTTATCATTGATGTAAGAGTAATATTTAAAGATATAGGTACATTTTAAGAGAAAAAATATCAATACCTAATCAGAAAACCTGAACTTTACAATAAACAGATTAAGGGGATACTTAATCCCCCTATTTCATTTAAATAACTCCCTCCCCTGTTTTGTGACTGATATTATAAACAGCATGCTTTTTAAGGAACTGAACTGTTGCATAGTAGGGAGTGAGTGGTCTTGTGGAATTTCTTATCTCTTTAATGAATCTGTTCATTTCCAGGAGTTCACTTTACACATTTGTGGGAGCAAGATCTAGTAGTACACAGCCTTGATCTTGTCACCTCACTTGACCACTTTGGGTCTCGTTTGGTATGCCAGTAAAATGAGAAAACTGTTAGATCACTGGTTCTTAACTTCTTTTGGATCATGGGCTTTTTAAGTACTTGATATAAACTATGGAACTGTCCAGAAAAATGCATATATACACAACTGTTTTTGTTTTGTTTTGCATATGGGCTCACGGACCCCCTGGGATAGATGATCTCTCAGTTCCCTTCTATTTCTTAAATTTTAGGATACTGTGATTCTTAAAGCATCCTTTTATTTTTGTCTCCAGGAATTATATAATATTGTATTATTATGTAGTCGTAAAAAGTAGCTTGTTGGATTTTTAAAATATGATCTTTAAAAAGAGAGCTCTTTCAAATGTAGTCATAAAAATCAGCTTTTTGGATTTTTAAAATACGATCTTTAAAAAGAGAACTCATTCAAATAAACAATCGCCAACCAAATACTGTGTTACTTTTAAAGAAAACTTTTGGAGTGAAGTAGGAAACTATAAACAAGCATTGCCAGGAAAGGTTGAATAAACAGCTGTGGTAGAATAACATAAATAAACAGCTTCAAAAGTCTCTAGCTTGAGGAAATAGTCTGTGGCAATCAGTGGCCCTTAGTGGGAAGGCGTTGCCTCTCTGGGGGCATTTGGAAATATTGTAGGAACATTTTTGGTTGTCTCAAATGGGCGAGGGGGCATGCCCTTGGTATTTAGTGGGCACGAGCCAGGGACGTTAAGTGTTTTGCAATGCCTAGGGCAGTTCCTTCTACACAGCAAGGAATTGTCCTGCCCAAAATGCCAGTGCCCTCTGACAAACACTGGTGATTGTGAGCTGGGACCTGGCACAACTGAAAAACGCTTTTTAAGCTGAAGTTACTATGCTCTTTTAGAAACATAATTCAACACAAAACATCCTTTGCCATTAATTCCCGCTTGGAAGAATCACAGACATAAAATGAGGATTCACTAGAGGAATTGGGGCTACTTAAAATGTATATATACTTTGTCCTCGAGTAGCCATTTTAACAGCAGAAGTTGGGGCATGTTGCTGTGTCTACTGGAAGTCTGGGAAGTGAAGGGTCTTACATAGTATGGTGGTATACAGTATGTAAGTTGTCCATATGATTTTTTTAAAAGATTTTATTTATTTATTTGATAGAGAGAGACAGTGAGAGAGGGAACACAAGCAGGGGGAGTGGGAGAGGGAGAAGCAGGCTTCCCGCCGAGCAGGGAGCCCGATGTGGGGCTCGATCCCAGGACCCTGGGATCATGCCCTGAGCCGAAGGCAGACGCTTAACGACTGAGCCACCCAGGCACCGCCTGATTTTTTTTTTCTTTAAAACATCTTTTTACACCTTGATCTAGTAATTTTGAAGAAAATTTCAAGGCCTTGGTACATTTACTCTCATGGTCTTTGTGCTGTTATACGGTTGCCTACTTATTGAGAATATATTACAGTTGAGTTAGTTTTTCCATGTCTGCTGTCTTTTCAGTAACCAAATCCCCTTCCATAAATCCATGTGCCAAAAAAGAAGTCTGAGGAGTTGGACTGGAATGGGGCTCAGGTTTAGAGGGAAGAGGATGGGTTTTGGAATCAGACCTAAGGTAAAACTCAGTTCTGATACAGTGTGTCATGTGATGATAAGCAAGTTCCTAAATCTCTTTGACTTCGCATTTCATTTGTAAAATGAGGGTGATAATTCTTACCTTTGGATGATTTTGAAGATTAGGGCTAACTCTATGTCTGGCATGGAGTAGGCCCTCCATAAATGGGTGCTATATTAAGAGTCATGCTGATGGTGATGATGAAGAATCCTGTAGCAACTAAATACCTGGCATGCTAATTTGCTGGATAGCACAGCAGGGAGGAGTCTGCAAGATCAGATCAGAAGGAGATGGGTTCCAGGCGTTTTCAGTTGGTGTGTAGAGTGCATTTGTCCATGAATCAGCCATAAGACGTACTGTTTTCTGTAGTCCCTAAGCTATAGAGCTCAGTCATGCTATAGACTAAGTTAGGTTTATGAGGACTGGCTTGAGGACAGACGTCCCCCTGTGATCTGGGTCCAGAGCTTTGGATGTGACAGAGGTCAGTGAAACAAACAAACAAACACAAAAACAGTCAGTTGTCTGTGTTTATCACATGGAACTGATCGGCTATGAAAGTTACTAGTACTCGCAAATGTTCTCATTTTCATACTGGTTATTTCTAAAGTCAGCACCCCTCTCCCCAACCCCCAGTTTACACATGGGTTTTGTGCTCACAGAAAGTGTCAGATATTCTTTGTCTTAACCAGATGAACACAAGAGGAAGACCACTTTCTGTGGCTTCCAGGAGCCACGTGGCTAAAACTCCTTACAATCTAGCCATGAGGTTACTCTTCATTTTCTTAGCTTCCTTTCTTCTGCTTCCTATTGCAGCTTTGTCACAGTAGCTCTGTGGTTGCAACAGAGGGCTGACTAGGTCCAGGCAGGGGTGGGACACAGCTGTGGCCCTACCAAGAGTCGGTCAGGTCTACTTTCTGGGCTTGGTGTATGTGTAGGTAAGTGGGTGGCAGTCTGTGTTTTGTAAGATGCTTTTGTGCAGAAATTCAAATACATAACCATTAAACGTGAAAACATTTTGTTCCCCTATGGAGGGCATCCTCACGAGCAAGTCACATTTTATTGCGAGCAGTATAGAATTTTCAGTTAGAATATGTTGATTTTCTGTATAAATTCATTTATTTTTTTGTAAAGTATAAAGATTTTTACCTAAATCTCCAGGCCCATCTCTCCTAACTGATGGGGTTGGAGATTTAGGTAGAAAAAAACAGAAACCTGGATTTTAATCTTCCAGATTCTGGTGGAACTATCTCAGGTAACCTGCTCTGCTTTTCTTTGAAGCAGAGCAAGCTGTTTTTATTATTATTCTAACCTTTAGCCTCGCAGGTCACTTAGGCTGTCCTAGGAAATATTAAGTGTAACACTTTTTTATTATATCATGCCTATAAGAATGCTTTTTAAACCACTTCTTATTTAGTAAATAACTAATTTAAATAAATAGATAAGCTTGTCATTTCATTATTTGTACTTTGAAATTAATTAGTATTAAAATCAGAAAAATTGTATGATCATTTATTAGACAAACATTGATTTCTTTTTTCTTATCTCTTACAGGATTTCTGGTAGGTCCTTTTTTAGGATAAGATGCTGTAACTGTTGAAACGCCAGTCTGCATTGATTCACAGACAGTTGGCTTTTCAGCTGGAAAGCCTTTTTTCCCCCCTTGCTGGTATACTGAACTTATGAAATCATGGCAGAAGGAGAGACAGAGTCACCTGGACCCAAAAAGCGTGGCCCCTACATTTCATCTGTCACTAGCAGGAGTGTGAACTTGATGATTCGTGGAGTGGTACTATTTTTTATTGGAGTATTTCTTGCATTAGTGTTAAATTTACTTCAGATTCAGAGAAATGTAACGCTCTTTCCACCTGACGTGATCGCAAGCATCTTTTCTTCAGCATGGTGGGTACCGCCGTGCTGTGGCACAGCCTCAGGTAGGTGTAGGTTGCTTCTGTAATGCTTAGAAAGGAAGGAGGGCACATGAGTGTGGATGTTGTCTGGGCAGTACTTGTTTTTCAGCTTTAATTTAAATGCAGGACAGTGGACCTGTTTTAAATGAACAGTTCCATGAGTTGAGGCAAATGCACACCATCATGTAACCACCCACCACAGTCCGGCTGTAGAACATTTTCCATGACCCACAGATTCTCTTGTGCTCTCTTGCCGTCCATTCCCCACACTCAGCCTCAGGCTTCCACTGATCTTTCTGTCCCTAGGTTATTTTTGCCCGTTCCCCCATGTAATATAAATGGAATCACAGGGTAGGTACTCTTGTGTCTGATTTCTGTCTGACCTATGAACTTGAAAATTTTAATCTTAAAAGAATCTTGCTTCCCTTTGGGATGAGGCTTTTAACTTCTTTCTTTCATCTTTTCTTCAGCTCACCTCATATTAAGTCTTACTCTTAGTTATTTTGATGATCATCGTCACTGTGGTTTTAAGGGTTAGATGTGTGTGTGTTGTGGCCTTGTTTTTGAAGTAGATGAAAACTTGAAAGATGGAGTAGCGTTATTCAAGTTCAAAGCTTCATGTTATTTTTTTATTTTTTAAAGATTTTATTTATTTGAGAAAGGGAGAGAGTGAGCACAAGCAGGGGTGAGGCAGAGGGAGAGAGAAAGGGAGAAGCAGACTCTGTGCCAAACAGGGTGCCCAACACAGGGCTTGATCCCAGGACTCTGACTCTGGGATCATGACCTGAGCTAAAGGCAGACGCTTAACCGACTGAGCCACCTGGGTGCCCCAAGCTTCATGTTATTTTTTTAGATTTTTGTACATGCTTTTTTTTTCTTGGTATCTTATTTTCAAATGTATTTTAAGGATAAAGAATACTTAAAGAGATTAATAAGTAGATTCTCTTTGCTTAAAGTCATTATCCTATTTCAGTAGTTATTTTAGATCTTTTTTGGTGGACAGTGTGTCACAGATAAAGTGGAGCATTTCAGAAAGCATACTTAATGGGGAGCTTCCATAATGGATACTCTTTAGCTTTTTCTAATGACTGAGACCACTAGATTAATAACATTTTATAAAAGGAAGTAATAGGAGGAAGCCATCATTGTGTGGTAGAAGAAAAATCTGATCGAGAAAGAAATTGCTTTTTAGAATGTCCATTTGGTGTCTCATACTTAAAATACACCAATACCTTGCAGTATAATGTATATCCTTCTTGACTTCCATCCTCGAGCTGGAGGTTGAAGGGGGAGGAATTAGATGTGAGATGTTTTAGAATGACCTCGTGGAACCTACTGGACAGTTGCGTGGATGGAAAGGCATGTTGTGTTAAGGTTTCAGTGTGGTTTATGTGTCGATGTCTCTATTACAATATTCACATTAAAAGTTTATAAAGGCAGTGATTCGTAGTTTCCCCAGGGTTATTACATTTTCTGAGAGACTAGGCAAACTCGTCCAAATAGAGGAGAAAGCATAAATTATATTTTATCATTCTCTGTTGTGTCTACTAGTCCTCATGTATTTTCTTTCATCTAAACTCAAAAGAGAAAAATTAAGTTAGACTAGGCAAGCTTGTCCAAATAGAGGAGAAAGCATAAATTACATTTTATCATTCTCTGTTGTGTCTACTAGTCCTCATGTATTTTCTTTCATCTAAACTCAAAAGAGAAAAATTAAGTTTTCCCATCGTCTTTTTCTAGTTTGTTTATTTTCTTGTATGGTATAGCTGCTGTCTGGCTACCAGTTGAAGCTTTTTGGGATTTGGAAGAACATGTCTTTTCAGTAGACAAAAGGAAGGTCAGGGGAGGGAAACTGTTCCTTACTGACTGCCTCCTAATGTGCTAGGCCCATCCCTTAACCCCAGGGATCTGTAGGGCAACTTTGGGAGTGAGATTTTGGCATTGTGCCTACTTTGGAGAAATGAGGAACCTGAGATGAAGAGAGGATGTCATTGAGCCCAGGGGCTCAGAGCTGGTGAATGGTGCAGCTGGGTCCAGCATCACAGGCCGGAGAAGGGGAAAGAGGAAGCTCCTCACACTTCCCCTTGATTCACGGGGCCTCTTTTGAAGCTTGCAGAGGAAATGCCAGGCTTGGATGGAACATACCGTTGTGTGTGGGACATTTGTGGCTGGGGCAGGAGAACTTGACTGACGTTTCACGGTACCTCCATTAAGGAGAGGACCAGGGGCTGTGTCTGTCCCTGTGGCATGGGCACTTTTGCCACAAACTCATATTTAGGAAGGAAAATTCCATATGTTAATACCACATTTCAGTTACTTTGTCTCTGCTTTCCTTCCTTTTCCCAGCCGCTAGGTCTGTTACACTTAAAACCTAACTTCATACTTCTCCATTTGGGGGATTTACATTTACATTTCTTGGTTAAGTGTTTCTCCTGAAAGCAGTGCATTCCGCGAGGTAGGTACATGGGCACACGGAAGTAGAGAGGCATTTGGAAATCTAGATTCCAGTTGATTCTGCTACTGATTTTGTTGGGTGAGTCATGGCATTTAGTAGATGAGAGTGAAGATACCAGGTTTGTGAAAGTTGCCAAAATGGATTCTTGCACCTCTTGCCCCCAATTTTAGGGAAAATATCAAGGAAATAAGAAGTTAATGATATAAGAAACATAGTGTGTACATGTTTACATGTGTTTGAAGTATGTATATGTTTTTGTGTACATGTGCTGGTGTGCATTTTCAAAACACTCTAGGTTCTTACCATCTTAAGTCAGAAAAATTGATAATTGTCCTTTGCTTTTCCTATCCAACTAATATTCATAGACAGAGCAGCTACCTTCTGGAGATTCTCCAGAATCACTACTTTCTGCATGCAAACAGAAGGGTCCCTGGCTATTTGCTCTCTTCCCCTATAGCACCTAGTGCTGGAAAATTTGTTAGCAGTGCTTCTAGAGGGACAACCAGTAGAGAACTCTGGTACATTTCCTTTGATCTCATTTTTCTTTTCTTAGTTCTCTATTTTTAATTTAATAATGGCTGGTGTTTCAAGGTGATTAACTTCTCAATGTGTGCAGTGCATTAGAATCAGAGTTAGAAACCTTTTGAACCTTGCGGAGGGCTGCAAAGGAATCTTTCTGAGGAATGAATAGAGGAAAAAGATAACTATCATTGTGTGGGTAAAAATAACTAGGGAAATTGACTTGAAAATTGCAAGTAACCAAATTATATTCATACCTATGAAACTAATATCTAACATTAAAAGAAAAAACAAAATCTTTCCAGTTTAGCCAGGCAGTCATTTACCCAGTTCCCAGAGAGCCCTGCAAGACTTCTGCTGCCACCTCCCAAGTTTCCAAGTTTCCATGTTGCCTCTTTCTCTTGGTCCAGGCCCTCTACCGCTCTGATGGGAATTTTCAGGTTTTTCTTTTTCTGCTTCTAATTTTGTCCTCTGACCAGCCACCAGTCCCCATCATGTGTTGTTATACACTCAGCACTGTAAGAGTGAGTTCCTCTCTATCTGCTACAAATGCAATGGCATTATTTCCTGATTCCCCAGTGCCTGCAGGGTAGTCTCTGTGATAGGACCCTTGCCAACTTTTGTCTTTTTCAGAGTCTTTCTGAAGCTCCCTTTTTGCCTAAAGCTTACAGTTTCCAGGTGATGGTGGATATTTTGCACTGTCCATGCTTTTCCTCAGATTTTTCCCTTGGATTAGAAAGTCATTTCCACACCACTGACCTGCTGAACTTGGCTCCTACCTCAGGGGCCACTTTTTCTGTGACGTTTTCCCGACACTCCAACACCCTGCCTCCCCTCAGCGCATGCCAGGAAAAGACTGGGCCCCGACTAGGCCCTGTCAGTGCCACCCGTAACATATTACTGTATTGCATCGTTTCTGTGCTCACTTTGGGGCTGGGATCACGTCTTATTCTTTTTTCTTTTTAAATCCCCAGCAAATATCAAGAACCAGACACATTATGGGAGCTCAAGTGTTTATTGAATGAAACATTGCATATCCTGTTGTAGTTTTCCATGAAAGTCTATCTCATTCAATGGCTTTGTTTTTTTCAGCCCCTGCTCCTTGCAAAACATTTGATTTAACTGTTCCTCTTAGTGCATCACTGAATTAAACACACTACCCTGAAAAAGTGATGACTTAATACTGATGTTTTACAAACTTCTGGTTTTGGCTTGGTATGCTGGAACTGATCACTGGGAAGTAACTTAAATCTATCCCAAGAAATGTTATTTTGCATCAGAGAGCCCTCCGATTAAGCAGGACGATGTTTGCATATAATGTTACACAGGCATGATTTTAACAATCTCTTGTTAAAATAAAAAAGTTGGGAGAAAGAAAAGAAACCCAGACATACTTCTGCTGAGCTGTCAAACGGTGGAGCCTCACTGTGCCATAGATACTGCTATCAGACTCTGCCATGCCTTTATTTAAAGGGAAGGAAGAAGACGTTTAATAGGAAGTGACAAGCTTCCTCGAATTCTCCTTCTCAGTGAGCAACCGAGAACCATGCATACTCAATGGATTTGATTTTTATTGGCAAATCCCAAGGTTGGCAGCGTGGCAGTTTAAATTCCTTTTTGTGTTTTTGCTTTCTCTCCTCAGTTGTCTCTCACTTTTGAGTCTGACATCACATGCATACAAATCTAGTCAATTTTACTTATTTATATCTTTGCACACACGTCAGTATTCTCTGTGTGATAATTCTTTACCTATGGCATCAGCTGCTGAGGAAAATTGACTTGGAATGCCTGATCTTAGCTGATTTTACTCAGCAACAGGCAAAGGGCGGAGAGAGGGAGAGCGAGAGTGAGGAATGACATGAGCTGTTAGTTTCATGACCCCTTGAGAAAAAAAAAAAAAGAGAATATTCATTTAGATGTATTTCAACTGTTAGGCATGCTTATTGCCATTTTAATTTTGTAGGAATTTGGAAATGCTGTCAGTTAATCTCCCAGGATTTTAGAGCTGAGCCTTTTAAATAGGAATGTGATATGAAAGTTTTAAATTTACTAACAGTTGTTGGAGGTCCGCATTGCTGAAATTTGTTGTTAATCTCTTGATGGTCTGTGAACCATCTATACTCAGCAAAAGCCTAACTCAGAAGAGTACTTTCAGATTTGTGGATTAGAGCACACATGCATCATTGCAGCCGCTCACCTCCAGATGGAGGTGCGGCCTCTTTTTAATACTGCTCCGTTGGTATGCTAGCCTGTGATTTTTGATATTAATTGATTTCTGTTTTTCCTTAAAGATTGAATACATCATTTGTAAGATAGAGCTAGCCAATACCAGGCCAGGCAGGGGATTCCTGATACTCAGGCACTCAGATTTTGGTACAGTAATTTCAAGATACATCATAGGTAGCACTGGACATTTTAAACGTTGCTTTCTTTTTTTTTTTTTTTTTAAGATTTTATTTATCTGACAGAGACAGTGAGAGAGGGAACACAAGCAGGGGGAGTGGGAGAGGGAGAAGCAGGCCTCCCAAGGAGCAGGGAGCCCAATGTGGGGCTCGATCCCAGGACCCCGGGATCATGACCCGAGCAGAAGGCAGACGCTTAACATCTGAGCCACCCAGGTGCCCCTTTCAACTGATGTGACAGTTGTGTCTTTATTACTTAATGGCAACATGACCATTCTGTTTTTAGGAAGATTAGCAAGTCAGAGCTGCCTAGCTATTTCCTGTTAAATTTAATCTGTAGAAGTACATTTTCCTTAGAACTTGTTGAAGAATATTTTGGTTCGTTAAGGTCTTTTTTTAGTGACTAACTTAGCATTTAAAATCTTCTCCCATTAAATGAATAAAATGTTGAAGTTTGACATGTATTTTAATTAAAAATTGGGTGTGAATATTTGGAGTCTCAATCACAGGTAGACATTTTGCCTGCAGTTATTCATAATTATATGGTTAACATTCAAGATGTTCTTTCCAAAACTAAGAAATGTACCAAAATGACTTCTGATTTTTAAGAGTGAATTTGAATTTTAACCGAAAACGTATAGTTCTTATAGATTGTTTCCTAAGTTTTTCTATGTGCAGAATGAGGCTTACGTGTAGATTTCTATTGCAAGTTTCCCTGTTTTGACAGTATGATCTAGAGACTCATTAGAAGGCCAGCGGGGAGGGGAACGTCAGGACACAGCTCTGGGCGCGGGAGAAAAGCTAGAGGCACTAGAATAATCTGTAGAACAGGCCGGCTATAGCCATCCGAACACACACTGTGTGTGGGATGACCTTATTGTTCACATTTACACTTCCAGCTTCTCTTTAGACAGTTTGGGGCATTTTATAGCACTCTTCATGCTTATGTGGTTCAGAGAGAACATTGTTTAACTGCCAGCTGGTTTGATGTTTTCAAATCTCAGAGATAGTAGTCGTAGTAGCATGAGCCATCTAGTCCAAACTGCTAAATTGTGACTCATACCCTGAAATAGCGCTCTGCCAATTATAATTTGGAATACTGTTGTAATCATTTGCAGTGCTTTCTGCAGTGGTGTTACCTCTTTTTTTTTACTTTGGGGAGGTAAGTTTAAAAATATGGGTGATTGATGTTAAGTATTGGAGAGCTTTTGAAACAGTGTTTCAAATGCTTGTGGGGGTTGTAGTGACTCTTTTAGCTTAAGTTTTGCTGGTATAGCATTGGAGATGACTTAATTTTTTTCTCCTTTTTTCCACAGCTGTGATTGGGTTATTATACCCCTGCATTGACAGGCATCTAGGAGAACCACATAAATTTAAAAGAGAGTGGTCCAGTGTGATGCGGTGCGTAGCCGTCTTTGTTGGTATAAATCATGCCAGTGCTGTATCCTTTCTGCTGTAACGAAATACATAATCACAGAGCAGCCCGGACAAACCAAAGGTTAAATAGTCCGTTGCAACTTCACTGTTGTCAAAATGTGGTATGTCCCCTTAGCGTAAAAAGAATGTGTGCCATATTGTTGAAACATCACAGTAGCAGCCGTGCATTTACTGGGTGGGGTATAGCCTTCCATTTAAATCCCCGAGTTTCAGAATCATTGAGAAACTTTGCTCGTTTAAACATTTTGCATGTTTTTCTTAAATTAGGTTACATAATTCCATACAGTTTTGGTAACTCCAAGATTGAAACAGATACATTTTCAAAGGATTTCTTTCCTCTCTTCATTTAAGACTTGCCAGTGAGGACATGTGGTGGCTTCAGGTGCTGGCTGTTTTTTGGTTTGTTTTTAATTTAAGGAACCTATAATTTTTTTCCAAAAAAGGACTCATCTATTGTTTTTTTTTAAATTTTTTATTGTTATGTTAATCACCATATATTACATCATTAGTTTTTGGTGCAGTGTTCCATGATTCATTGTTTGTTCATAACACCCAGTGCTCCATGCAGAACGTGCCCTCCTCAATACCCATCACCAGGATAACCCATCCCCCTCCCCCCCTCCCCTCTAGAACCCTCAGTTTGTTTTTCAGAGTCCATCATCTCTCATGGTTCGTCTCCCCCTCTGACATACTCCCCTTTTCTTCCTCTCCTGTTATCTTCTTCTTTTTCTTTTTTCTTAAAATATGTTGTGTTATTTGTTTCAGAAGTACAGATCTGTGATTCAACAGTCTTGCACAATTCACAGCGCTCACCGTAGCACATACCCTCCCCAATGTCTATCACCCAGCCACCCCATCCCTCCCACCCCCAACCACTCCAGTAACACTCAGTTTGTTTCCTGAGATTAAGAATTCCTCATATCAGTGAGGTCATGTGATACAAGTCTTTCTCTGATTGACTTATTTCACTCAGCATAACACCCTCCAGTTCTATCCACGTCGTTGCAAATGGCAAGATCTCATTCCTTTTGATGGCTGCATAATATTCCATTGTGTATATATACCACATCTTCTTTATCCATTCATCTGTCGATGGGCATCTTGGCTCTTTCCACAGTTTGGCTATTGTGGACATTGCTGCTATAAACATTGGGGTACACGTACCCCTTCGGGTCCCTACATTTGTATCTTTGGGGTAAATACCCAGTTCATCTATTGGTTTTAATCGACGCCAGCAAATCTCATGAATGTTCTTAAAGGTGGCATAAGTGGAAATACTCAGCTTAGACATGGGCCAAAAAGAACATTTGTCCCTAAGGTACATATTTTTAAAGTTTGATCATTTATGGATTCTGACATTTTATTTCGTGAGTAATGAGTGTTCTTAGAGTATCCCAGCTAGAAGGGTAAAGTAGCCTCTATTTCCCTTCTCCCTGATACCACAGAAAAAAATGTCCACCCCAGAACAAAAGTTTTTGCCCTCATAAGATTTTCATCCTGTCATCCTCCCTGCTGCTTCTCCTCTTCTTCCCCACCCCTGACTTTCCTTTGGAGAAGAGAGCCTGTGACTGGCTAGTTCATTCGTCCCTTTTCTAGAAGATGTGGCTTAGAGAGTGGAGGGGACAGGAGCTTTGGTGCTGGGAAGAGCATGCAGTGCAGGTCAGGCTGCCCAGAGTTCCCTCTTGTGCCTCTGCAATGGGCTCATGGCTGGTGGTTAGCAGGAGAGAGGGTGGGTCACGTGGCAGGTGGATTCCTATGTCTGTTATGGGAAGCATTGTGTTCTGGAGAAGCCTGGGAGAGGAACAAAGGCAAGTGGCAAGGTCCTCCGTTCTGCAAACACATTTGCCTTTCTGTTCCTAATTGTGCTAGCCCTTGGGGATCTGTGAATTTGGAAGCCCCTCAGTGGCGTTACTAGTCTGTTTTTCCATTCCTTTTGTATTAAAGAATTTCCCAACATGTTTAGCTTGGAGGAATCTTTGAGATTTAGGATTTGAGGAATCTTTGAGATTTAGGATTTTATAACAAACAAATCTAGTGGTTGGGAGGGCTTCAAAAGATAGACTCATAGAATATTGTATCTAGAGGAAAACTTAGAAATCACCCAGTTCCACATTATTTTTTTATTAAAGATAATAAGACAAATGAAAGCTAGAGGGATTAGGTACTTTGCCAAGTCACTCATACTGCAAGGCTGGGACATTGCTGAGACCAGACCCCAGAGATCCTGGCTCGAATCTAGGAAGGGTTCCTTCTCCCATTCAGGAGCCCCCTAAGCATGCTAAATTTCCCTCCCAACTGGTGGATTAGACTGTTCCACCCCAGATGTTTCAGGTGTTTTTAAGTAGAGAAATTTAGATAGCCTTTTCTGGAATTTAAAAACCTTTATATATCTAATTTAAATTTTTTGCCTCAGTCATTCTTTTCCTTCTCTGTCAATGAGATACCTGAATATAGCGATTTTTAACTGTTCTGTCCGCCATTGAAGCAAAGTCCAAAATGTCTGCAAAATTTATAACATAGACTTAATAATATTAGGTCCCTTAGACTAGAGAAAATCCCATGGTACTATTTTTCAGGTAGAAGTATTTTACCTGTTTACCCTAGAAACCTTATTTTCCTTTGACCCTTAATGAAGTTAATTTAGTTATCAAAGATGGAACTCAGTGAATATCAAATTCTACTGTTTATAAGAATGTTTATTGCGTAGAAAAATCAGAGCATATAACCTTTCCTTTGGAGTGTTAGGTATAATGCCTGCTAAAGAATAAGAAAAACTTTTGCAGAAAGCATACCATAAACTCTAGGGTTTTTTGGGGTAAATCAAGCCTAATCAAGAAATGACCTTGAGGGAATGGCCAGCAACCGTCCTCTGATGCTGAGAAGTAAGCGAAGAGGGAGTTGGAGATACCAGCTGGTGTGGTAAGGGCGGAAGTGGGTGGTAAATGACAGGATGTTAAAGGAAGTGGGGAAATAGTTTTATATGCATTTTTTGAACTTCTTCTCTCTTCTCTGTAGTTGCAGCATGGCCAGTTAGTTGGCGAGCTATCTAGTTTCCCCTGGGGAGCTGGATATAGAGCCAAGATGTGGCCTTTGGGACATAGATAATGCCCTTTTAATGATATTTGAAATTAATTCCTTTAGTGTAATCCTCTAGCAAAGAAATGAGAAAATTGAATTTGTAAAGCTTCGTTTTGCCCAGAGATTTTGGAGTAGAAAAGGGCCACACATTTGTGAATAGATGCTTAAGTAAGTGACGGAAATAAAATATCATTTGAGCAAACTGTCCTATACCGGAAAGTCTCAGGCACCAAAATAGCTTGGCAGGTTGCAAGATAATGTTCACTTCAAGGCTTTATCCTCAACAAATTAAAACTAGAACAGTTGACATAATAGAAAGGGATACTGTGTCCTTGGTCCTCTTGTTTCTGAACTGCATTATTATAAAATGTGTCTGTCAGTAAATCATATAGAGAATGTGGTACCCTGTTAAATAGCTGTCAACTCTTCTATTTTCAAGTTCTTGTATGATTCGCAAGTAATTCTGAACCTGTTTGAGAAGTAATATTGGTTTCTTTTTTAGCAAAAGTGTGTTCCTTTAGCAGTACTTGTGTTCCAAGACTTCTGGTTACATTTTTAGCAAAGCATTTCTCAAATAATGGGTCTGATCTTATAATTGTGAATGTAGAAAGAGGGCTTTTTTGGGGGGCTGGGAGGAACTACAAGTAGGTGGGATCTATTAATGAAATATCATGCCCTCTGTGTATTTTTAGTAAATATCAGAGACAGTTTTAATCTCACCCAGTGACCTGCATTGTATGAAAGGACTGAACTCACCCTAGAATAAGCAGTCAAGTCCCGTCTCAATAGTAACATCTCTTATTTTAGAAAAATGAACAGGTGGTATTATTTGGTTACAAGTTTTAAGATGACTCTTTAACACTGATCTCAGAAAGTGGATTTTGATAACAACATACAGTTGTCTCTCACACTGGCTGCACTCTCCATTGGACTCTGGTGGACCTTTGATAGATCTAGAAGTGGTTTTGGCCTTGGAGTAGGAATTGCTTTCTTGGCAACCTTGGTCACTCAACTGCTAGTCTATAATGGTGTTTATCAGTAAGTATTCTTTTCAGTGCTTGTTTGCTAAAAGAAATAAATGACAACTGATTTCAGAATTGAGATTTAAAAATTGGGTTAGCCACTTTAATGTACAGAGTAACTTATTTCCATTGTAATTTTCTTAATGATTATCGGTGTATACTTCCTCTGTGGGATGTTAAAAACATTTCTGTTATTCTAGATATACATCTCCAGATTTTCTCTATGTTCGTTCTTGGTTACCGTGTATATTTTTTGCTGGAGGCATAACAATGGGAAACATTGGTCGACAACTGGCAATGGTAAGCTGATGCTTATTTCATCTGTTATTGAGATGTAAGACAAGTTTTCTCCAAGCCAAGCATACTAAAAGTCAAAGGAACCATTGGGTAGAAAAGCTAAAATGTGTTACGGATATGGTGATAGGACTTACCCTCTAATTTTTTTAACTAATCTGTAAATAAGGACGCTGTTGGTCACCCCTGTCATGGATGGCAGGACCAGGAACAGCATCCAAAGGCCACAGCAGTTTCACGAATAAGCGCTGTCACTTACATCATTGTAGCCTGCTAGGAGAATTGAGTGGCTGTCTTTTTGATAATGTGGCCACCCAATTATCTTAAACCCATTAGTTTCCTTTATCTTGAATTGTGGTTGCACATCTGTAACTGTACTTCTAAAATACTGTTTTTGACCAGAAGGTTTTGCTAACGTAATAGACTTTTCCCCTTGAAATTGTAAAGTGATTTGAGAAAATATTACCTGAATTCAACCATATCAGTCCTGTCCTTAAGTTCATGACCTTTCCTTTGCTGATTTGCCTTACCGAGTACTCAGAGAAACCTATTTTGCCTCCCTTTGTGTTGTAGGATTGATCTGAATCATACTGTTATTATTTGCTTGTAGTGCAGAAACCTTGTCTTTTGCCTGCGTTTCCATGTCTCTTTCACTTCTCGACTGTGAACTTTCTTTTTCCCCTATCATATTCGTCATTTGCTTCTAATCCTTGCATAACTCTCAGATTCTTTGACAAATAAAGTGGGCATATGTTAATAAAGTATCAATTTCTAGTCTGTGTGGAAATTGCTATTCAAAATAAACTTTAATCTGTTAACCTTTTAACCTTTTAATTTTTACAGTATGAATGTAAAGTTATCGCAGAAAAATCTCATCAGGAATGAAGAAGGCAAAAATATATCTTTTGTACAGAAAAACAAGATGAAAAGGGCATGTAAATGATAGCTATATCAACAAAGCTTCAGACTGTAAAATTGCCAGGGTGCAGTTTTCCCCTTGATTGGGGTGTGTGTGTGTGTGTGTGTGTGTGTGTGTGTGTGTGTAGATATATATGTGTATACACACACACACAGACACACTTACACACATATACATGCACATATGCATATATTATTGCAATCTGTGATTGCTTCCTCTGTAAAATCAGTTACAAACCTTGATGTATTTGACTTAAATAACTATAAAATATATATGCACTACATGAAACAACGTGTTCATTAATAGATGAAATTTTTTAATTAATTTTTTTAAACATACCATATATTGTATCACAATGTTGATGTGCCAAAATACTGTTATTGTCATGCAGAGTATAAGAATGCTTGAACAGTTTATAAGCTTAGTGAAATAAAATAAGAGGAAAGCCAAAAAAGAGAAAGAAAAAGAAAAATGGAAAGTTGGTAGATTCTCTTTTGCTTACTGTTGTGCCTTTTCATTTTCTAATCACAGCAGTATGAGTTATGGGTGCCCTGACATGTGGTTAGTTTCTATTTTAATGTTGTCTCAGAGAGCTTGGGGTATTTAAATTGATAATGAAAATGAACTTCCATAGAACATTTTCAAACCTGCATTACTAGAGAGAGTCCAAAAAGGAATTCTACTGGAGGTAAAAGTGATGAGCAGGAGAGGGTTATCAGCGTTAAATTGTTTTTAGTCTAAGTCTACAAGACTATATATAATTAAAAGAAGGCACCGTTGGGAAATTTACCTAGAATAAATATGTTATAGAGATACCAAAATGACCTTTAGCAGTGCCACAAGTGTTAAATGATATTGTCATTTGCAGTGCAGTAACCCATTGCTTTTGCACATGGAACACCCAAGAAACCCCAAACAGATCGACATGAAGTTTCTAATTCTCTTGGGTTCTGTAATCTGTTGGGTTCTACCAAGCAAACCACATTAGCTGGGCTGGGTCACGTGACTGACTGTCAGTGGAATGCCATCTGGGAAATGGATGAGCACATCTCTTTTTACGTATTCATATGTCCATTAGTGAACAGTTCGAGCCTGTTCCAGAATGTGCTGATATGGCATATACTGTGCATGTTAAAGATCTCGATAGCAGTTTTGTGCATATCTTTCCAACAATGGGAACCATTTAAGTGTGGTTTAAACATATTTTTAGTTAACTTTTTTCTCAATTTTTATTTTTGAAATTGATGACAATTGTCTGATACACAAGGGTGGAACTTTCTGCTTACTTTGGGTTTGTGTGTCTTTGTGTGTGTATGTGTGTGTGTTGGACTGAGTGAGAATGTACATGTAGAAATGTATGTGCATGTGCCCATGCTCTCGTAATATGTCAACTAGATATTTTTAAAACTGTTGCTGTCAGACTGAGATCTCCTATGCCAAACTTTAATCTGCTTTTACATTTTAAGGCTGAAAGTGTGAAGATCCTAAAAGGATTTCATATTGAATATATGTACACAATCTTAACTATAGTGGTGGTAAACATACTACTATAATTTATTATTCTATCTTCCAGATAATGTTATCCATTTAGAACAAATAAGGTATATTTTTAGAATCAACTTTGTAAGCACTATAAATCTTTAATAAGTTATAAGGTCTATGATGTGTTTACTTTGAAAATTGCTGTTAAAAGCAAGATGTATTAAATATATAACTATCATCTTGGTTAAGAGTCTTTTTTTCTTCCTCGTGCTAAATCTTAGAATCTAATACTGAGGATTAATTTAATAAAATTAACATGTATGGTTGAATTTACTAAGAAATAATAAAAGGAAACCAAGTCTGATGTTCCAGGAATTGAATGATTATCACTTGGGAATTCTCAAGCTATTTTCAGATCATCTAGAAAACAAGAAAAGATATTAATGGCAAAAAGTAAAATTGTTTTGCTATTTTGATAAGCATGTAAATATATTACATCCATTTTTTTGCAACGAAAGAAAGCGGTAGACATCTTTTAATATTGCCACATTGACAGCGCTTCCTTTTATTAAAGTTCTGGAAAGTGAATGCTTGAAAACAAACTATAAATTTTACGAAAGCACAGGAAAACAATTAAAATTAGCTAGCCAGAATCCTGCTAATACTTTTGTTAAAAAATTTATTTGTTTGCACTGAGCTATTTTACTTTAATCAAGGACACTGGAACCTCTTAGTGGTGCATACATTCACACGTCTTGTATTTTCTAGGTGGAATCCAGACTTGGTCATTATTAAATAGCTCTCTAATTATCTTGGCTCACTTGCCTGCCCAGTAAAATACAGTTGGCCCTTGAACAATGTGGGAGTAGGGGCTCTGACCCCTGCACAGTCCAAAATCTGTGTGTAACCTTTGACTCCCCCAAAACTTAACTACTCATAGCCTTACTGGTAACATAGTTGATTTGCCACATATTTTGTGTATGTATTGTATATTGTGTTCATATAATAAAGATGGAGAAAAGAAAATGTTAAGAAAATCATAAGGAAGAGAAAATACATTTACAGTACTGTACCACATTTATCGAAAAAAATCCACATATAAGTGGGCCTGTGAGGTTCAAACCCATGTTGTTCAAAGGTCAACTGTGTGTTCTTTGTAAGGTAATTCTTTCAGTGATGGTCTGTGTGTAGTGGAGTCCTAGCTTTGCATGTCTGGAAGAATCTGCTTCATTCTCCCAGAACAGTTTAGCAGGACTTAGATTTCTTGGTTCATAGTTCCCACCCCCTGCCCCCCAGCTCCCATTATGTTGAAGACTTTTAACTCATTGTTTATGCCATCTAATGTTGCAGATGGTAAATCTGCTATTAGTGTGATTCTCTTTCCTTTGTAGGTAATCTTGTTTTTTCTTTCCAGGAGCTTTTACACAGTATTTTATCCTCATCGTTACTCAGTTTCACTTTGACTTGTTTAGCTTTAGATTTGTTTTTACTTTTCTTGCTTGGTAATCAGTATGCACTTCATTCTGTGTGCTCACGTCTTCAATTCTGGGAAAATTTTCAAGTTGGCTGCATTTTGGAATCATATGGGAACTTGTAAAAGTATGCTGATGCCTGGTTCCCACCCCCAGAGACTCTAAAATAATTGGCCTGGGGTGTGCCCTGAACATGAGAATTTTCATAAATTCCCCAGGCGGTTTTAATGTGCAGCCCAGATTGCCAGTCATTGGTGTAGACGCGTATAAGATGAGGGGAATGTTTGAGGTGAAAGAGAGATCCTAACTTTGGGAAGGAAGGGTGAGGGACACATTGAGATACATTTTGGACTAAGTCATCTGAACTTGATGACTTGAGTGTGAAGGGTAAGGAAGAGAAGTGTGACTTAACATTTCTTTCTTGGAAAACTAGGTGGATGGTATTTCCATAAACCAGAGAGGAATGCAGAGAAGCAGGTGAGCGGGTAAAGTTAATGAGTTTGATCAGTTGAGGGTGGAGCTATGTCCAGGACATCTGGTAAAGAGGCATCATAAGCAATTGGACATTTGAGTCTGGGCTATTGGATGTAAATGAGGGAGCTTGTCTTTGTCATGTGTCCATGATCTTGGAAGCTGTGGAGGTGGATGAGATCCCCAAGGAGCATGTTACAGCAAACAGAGACGAGATCTGAGGCCTCCTGGCATGTTGGCAGAAGAGCTGGTGAAGGAGGTGGAGGGGTGTGGTCAGAAGTGGGAGGAGAAATAGAAGAGTGATGTGCTTGAAACCAGAGCAGAAGGCACTTCATGGCAGAGGGGAGCTGGTAGTATGGAGTGCAGTTGGAAGGAATTACTAACCTTAGAGATAAGGGAGATGTATCTGATTGTTTTATGTTGAAAAATGCTTTTCCTAACCTATTTTATCTTAACATTTAAAATATTTCATTGTATACCAATAGCTTACAAAATATATTTGGGACAAGTCTGATCATATACTAAGTCGTATATTAGGAGTGAGGGGAGCTGGGGTTACCTAGAGAACTTTGAGGGAATGGTGGAGATTTGGACAGCCTCTACAGGGACTGACTAGAGATGAAGAAAGAATTTCTAGAACATTTTGAGACCTTCAAGGACTCAGGTGAGGCTCGAGATGAGATTCTTGCAGTGGAGCCAATCAACATGGATGTGCCATGTCTTGGCGGCCGGAGAGGGGACTCAGTAGCCCAGGAGTTTAGGGCAATTGTGATGGGATAGATTGATTCTCGTTGGGAATTTATCGGAAGACATGGCACAAAGGCTATGTGAAAAATGAATGGAGGCTCCTAAAGAAATATCACGGGATCTTTTATCATGGGATCCAGGCAAATTGGGGGAAGGAAGTTGAATCAACAGTGCTGACCTAACAGTGTGAAAAAATGAGGTGAGCTAAAAGGACTGCATGCCCTGAGGTAAAAAACCCTTTATCACAAGAAGGATGAAGGCTTGGGGTTTGTAGTCAGGAATTTAGTGGAACATTTCCAGATCATGAGGTCCAAGGTGTGATCTAAACAGCTTTGTCTACATAGTTCACCAAAGTGGGTGGAGATGCACAGCAGTGGAGTGGAGACCCAAGGCCTGGGTGCCCAGCTGTTGCAGCAGTATTAGTGTTACCTGGAAGGACCTCAGAGGTCAGGTGGAAAGGCCGGTCTTATTTGTAGTCCTCCCAACCATTTGAATGAAATACTTTTCCAGATGCCTTGATTGGATTGGGATTTAAATAGAGTCCTTTCTCCCTTTATTTATTTATTTATTTTTAGGTTTTTTTTTTTTTTTTTCATCATCTGAAATTTCACCACAGGTTGTATAGGAGTATTTCTTTTTCCACTAATCCTATTCAGTCAGAGACATTTCCTCTTTACTTCAGGCCTTTTTTGGGGGGAGGGGGTGGATTGTTCTTATTATTTCTTTGTTCTCTGTTTTTCTTCTCTTCTCAAATTCCTCTATTCAAAAGATCTTTGACCTTTTGTTTCTGTTTTCTATATATCCCTTGGCTTTTCTCTGTTGTGCTACACTCTAGAAGAATTACTTAACTGGATCTTCCAGCTCTGTGTCCACTCAGCATTTAGCTGTCACTGGGTTTTTAATTTCAGTGATCACACTTTGAATTTCCAAGATCTTTATTTTATTTTATTTTTTTGTGGAAGTGTGTCATCATTCTTGTGTTTTCTCGGGATATTAATTATTCTACTTTTACAATTTTTTTAAAGATTTTATTTATTTATTTGAGACAGAGAGAATGAGAGAGAGAGAGCACATGAGAGCAGGGAGGGCCAGAGGGAGAAGCAGACTCCCCGCCGAGCAGGGAGCCCGATGCGGGACTCGATCCGGGGACTCCAAGATCATGACCTGAGCTGAAGGCAGTTGCTCAGCCAACTGAGCCCCCCAGGCGCCCTAATTATTCTACTTTTAAAGTTCTGAACTTTTCAGCCTGTACCAGCCTGTCTGTGGATGTGAGTGCTCCCCTGTTGGCCGTGGGTGCACTGCCGTGCTTCTGTGAACTTAGTCCTCACTCTTACCACTTTCCTCTGGGGCAGATACTGTGTTGTCTCTCTCTGGTCCAAGATGGGGGAGAAGTGTAGAGTCGGCCAAATGGCTGCTTCCACAAGAGCCTGCTTGAACCCATCGGGTCAGTTGGGTATTTTCATCTCTGAGAGTCAGCTACCTCTGACCAGAATGTCTCTGGTTTCATTTTTAGCAAGTCCCCTCCCTCAGGGTTTATGAGCTGTGGTTTCTCTTCATCTGTCTGCTCTCAATTGTTTTCTTGCTTTCAGGAGTTCCTTGTAGTGTCTGGTCCACGGAGGATACATCTTATTTGGCAGTATAGTTGTGGATTCCTTTTCTTTTTAATTTTTTGTTGTTGTTTCTAGGAATCTAGGATAGGAGAGAGAAGCTACAGCTTAAGTGGTCTGTCTCCCTGATTCAACTTTCGCCACTCCTTTTTTTATACCACGAAATCATGCCATCTGCCTGTTCCTTTGTCTTTATGTTTCAAAAACTCAATTTAGTTAGGAGCTGAGATAAATAGGTTAAGTCAGTGGCTTCTTGTTTGGCCTCAATAAAAATAAAAATTGAGATATTGAGATTATTTTTTCCTCTCGAAATACATTTAGTTTATTGAGTTCGTTGTGCCAGGGGGTTAAATATACTAGTATCTGTTCCTTTATGCCTCCCTTCTTTTTACCACTGATGAAATCTGTGAAGCCTGTCAGCTTTCTTTGTGATTTACAAGACAGACTTTTCCAGGGTACATCAACTGTTCTGAAGACAATGTTGTTAAGTATCAGATTTGGCAGATCAGATAGAGAATGATGTGCCTGGGAAAGAATGGGCTATTGATGAGCTTCGTGTCCAAACTATTGCCATATATGGGCAATTTATCCCTTTCACCGTTTCCCTGGCTGTGGACTCAGTGAGGATTTCATGAACAAGGGGCAGTTTTGATTCCAAATCGAAACCGTGCTCTGGTGCAAGTGCGTCCTTCTGTTCTGCTTTCATGGCAGGATTTGCAACTGCTAATCTTCCCGTGGCTTCCCCAAGGTGGGCTTTAAAAGTAATGAGCCCTTAGGAAGTATACTGCCATTTAAAAATAATCCTTTTTTATTACTGCTCTGACAACAATAAATTCACTCCGCACTACTGTGTCTCCATACGATTGTTGCGTTTGCAAGATTTGTCTCTTTCTTAGAAAAACACTTTTTAAGGAAACTTGTACAGAATGTGATCATGGACCGATTCATTGTGATGAGCAATTGAGGAGACAAAGGAAAGCAAGAACCCAAGTGCTGAATCTGTTTGTTTTAGAAGAAAAGTTTCTAAAATGCATTCCCTGGGAATTTCTGCCACTGAATGAAACTCATTTCTATTCCCTTCATAGTCATAACATGTCACTCCTAGATCTTCTGGGACTGTCTACCCAACCAAAGTATGACAGTAGCAGTTCTTTTTTGAAAAAAAAAACCTTCCTGCATTTACAAAAGCCTGAGATTTTCCAGCAGGACATTATAGAAAGACAAAGTGCTCCCCCATCATTTTAGGATCAGCTGGGCGCAGCTGCTGTGTGGAGTCTCTGCATATTGGCTTGGGGCGCCCGTAGACTGACATTCTGAAGATGAAGCTTAAAGATGGTTGTAAAGACAAGCCTTTGTGGAATTTCTGTGCCTCACACCTGGTGCGTGTCAGTGTCACGCCTGCCTAAGAGAAAGCAAGTCAGTATACGTTGAAGCTCATCTTTCTAGAATGTATGTAAAATTCATAATAAGGTTGAGTCAGGTTCAGCTTTTTTTTTTTTTTCTCCAGAAAGAATAAATCTGTGCTCCTTAAATGTTTGATAGTATTAGTTCTGGTTCTGGCTCCAACTAACTGTAACGGGGCTGGGATGTGTAATCCCTCCCCCGGAGGACAGAAGAACCACATACGGGTGATCACTGGTAGTGTCCGCCACCGTTGGTATAAAGCGTTTTCTGGCACTCTCTGCCCACTAGCATATTTTCCGTCCTAAGTGATTCATAGTGAGCACAACTAGGAGAAAATAAAAGACTTTTTTTTGGTGGTAAAATTAAAATTATAGTCTTTAAAATACATAACATATACACTTAGTATCCAAGTTCTAGAATGATGAGAAAGAAGGAACGCCTCACCTTTGCCTCTTCCTGTCATCTAAAAGAAGAAGTGACCAGGGCTGGAGGGTGGGGGCAGCGCCTGGGTGGCTCAGTTGGTTCAGCACCTGCCTTCAGCTCAGGTCGCCATCCAAGGATCCCGGAATCGAGTCCTGCATTGGGCTCCCTGCTCAGTGGGGAGTCTGCTTCTCCCTCTCCCCCTGCCCCTTTCCCCCACCCCCAACTCTGCTCTCTCTCTCTCTCAAATAAATAAATAAAATCTAAGAAGAAGAAGAAGTGAGGGGAAGGAAATGAATCAGGTGTTTGCGTTGTGCCTCCTGTGACCATCCCTACCACACCCTTCCAGATACGGACTGTTTTACACCTGCCAACGTCTGTTCTTTTGAAAGGCTGAGCGGGGTTTCAAACTCTGGTCTGACTTGGCTGTAGTGACCAAGGATCCTCCTCCTCACCAGGCCCTGCCAGGCCCTACAAGTGGTTTCCCATAAGTATTTCCAACAGATTTCTCTGGCCATCCCTTAGAGTGAGTGACTTGGCACTGGAAGCATTTCTGACTCGGAAGCAACCTCCATTTCATGGAAGCATATTAACCATAATTCTGGTTAATACGCTACTCCACTCTGGAACCTGGCCTATTTTAGAAAGCTGTTGTAAGTATTCTGAGAGAGCCCTAATGGCTTCAGCTCTCCATGATGCCTAGACATGGACCTTGAACCTCTCTTGATAATAGATATTCTACCACAGGCTCCTCAGGCACAGTCCCTTGTGAAAGTCTGACAGAATAGAAAGGTGATAAAATTTTTTAACAGGTTTAAAAAAAACAAA